TGGTGTCCAACTCATTTCTAGAGGCTGTGAGAACTCAGTTTATGGATTTTCCTAAACAGTTTCTGATCTACGGGGGTTAAGAAACCAGCTTGTCACAGCTAACCAAACTGTGACAGGTGTGCCCTGCACAGGGAAGTTTGCAACAGGAGACTTAAGAGCTCAGATGCAGGTTTTCTGAACTTGCTGTGTCTTTCTATTTTAACCCACACCCCTTATTCTAGATTTTAGAGCAGAACTAGTTAAGTAGAACGATTAAGGGACTGCTTCATCTTAGGAATTAAGATTTCTCGGGCTGGGTGTGATGGCTCACACCTATAATCTCAAGGCTGAAGCAAAAGGATCTTGAGTTTGTGGCTAGTTTGGATAATATAGTAAGTTTGAGGCAAGCTTGAGTTATATAGCAAGACAGTTTCAAAACTAAGTCAATAATTTTTTTTTTTTTTAAATTACGTGAATGCCTGTGTCTACAATGAGTGTAGGTCCTCCAGGTAGCTAGAAGAGGGCTTTGGATCCCCCTAGAGTTAGTTGTAGGTATATAGAGTTTCCATGGATGATGGGAACTGAGTTCAGGTCTGTACAAGTATATATCAACTGCTGAGCCATCTCTCTAGACACCCCCACCTTTAATCTGGGGGGAGGGGTTTGTCAGATGTATCTATTTCAGTAGCAAAGACTAGAGATTGTAAAGGATAGGTGGACCCTTGGGGGTCAGTGGCTAGCCAGTTTAGCTAGTCTCCCTGGTGAGTAGTTTCAAGGCAGTGAAGGCAACCAGTCAAAAAACAAGAACTCCAAGCCCCAAGCCACCTGTATCTGCTGCTCTACAGACAACAGAAAGGAAACGGAAGCAGCTGAGGCGCCTTCGGTAGGTGAATGGAGAGTGGAGGCATGGTACACACACACTCAGTGACATTTTACTCAGCTGCATGGAAAAATGAAATTACGAAATTTCCGGGAAATGGACGGATCTGGTCAATATTATATTAAATGAGGTGACTCAAACTCACAAAGTCAAAAGCCACGTGTTCTCTCTCAGATGAATGTAGGTTTTCTTTGTGTGCATGAGTATAAATGGATGTACTTACTAATGTGGGTAAAACCTAAAAGCCCGAAAGGAGTCACAAAGAAGCTAAAAGGTGCTGAGGAAACATGTGGGGGGGGGGTGTCAAAAAGGCAGGCCACACGAAATCAAAGAGACAGGATGGGGTCGGGCTGATCTGCTAAAAACACACTTTGTAAATGACATGATACTTTGTATGCTAGTTTAAAATTTTAATTAAAATTTAACAACCCCAAACAAATAAAGGCAGACCCAGGAATGAGGTTGTCTTCTGGCCTCCATATACACACACACACCACTCAAAAAAAAAACATGAGCAATGCACAAATGCGCACACACACAACTAAAAACAAAAACCTTTAAAAGTACTTAGAAGAAGCTGAGGACTCCATCCCCAGCACTGCTCAAAAATAAATAAATAAATAAATAAATAAATAAATAAAATTAAATACTGGGACTTTCTCTCTACATTTATTCTCCTTTTTAAAGCAATGAGGAAGTCTCAGAATTGCTGTGAGAAATGTTCTGCTTCCAGCTTGAGAAAGGAGCTGTTTGTAGATTCTTGTTAGCTTCCCTCCCACCCCCCAGATTTGCTGTGAACACCCACCTTTCCTGCTCCTGCTCCAGTGCTGGGGTTATAGGTGTGCACCACCAAACCTCAGTCTTTTTTTCCCTTTCCAATATATGAGTGAATTCACAAATCTGTGCCATCCTTGCACAGACACCATACTGATCTTTATCATTCACGTGTTGGTTGCTGCAACCAGTTTGCAGAATCCAAAGAGATGCTCATCAATATCTTCCCCAGGTAAATACAAAGACCATGGCCTATATTGATAAATCAGAATCCTAGACCTTGAGAACTCTGAGTAAAGAATCTCTAGAGACTCTAAACTCTGTGGACAATTTCTCGGGTTTTTAGTGCTATCTACATTTTCTAGAACCACACAGTGGTAGTGGTGGTGTTTGACATCCCTACCAATTACATACAACAAGTTGGTAAATAAAACAAATAAATCTTCAAAAAAGGCATTTCTTGGAAAACAAAACCCCTTGTGTGGTCCAGGCTTTACATACAGTTGGAAGTTTGGAGATTGCTGACATTCAGTACTAGGCTGGAGGGTTGTTTACCACTGAAGGCAATACCCTTTGTGACACACTAATGAAATTGTACCTTGTCATTCTGTCCGCCAGGTTACCAACCTCATTATGAAAACAAGGTCCTTGGTCTGCTGAAGAGGGGCTGCTGTAATGTAAATGTCACCATCACGTAGGAAATGACTGGATCTGGTCAGCCTCACATTTACTGCTCCCTCATGCAGGACCAGGTTCCTTTAGAAACCTTTCAAAAGCTCCCAAGGCCCAGCCTAACAAGGACAGACTCCCAGTGACTTTCTGTGGTTTACCAGCCGGTGCCCAGGATAGCCGAAGGGCAAAGTCACAACTGCAGTAAGTGATGTCAAAAGAACGAGACTGACAAGACAGGTACAGCCTTCTACCTGCCCAAGTCCCAGCCCAGACACAGAGCAGCAGCTGAGACTCACTGACCACATGGGATAGCCCCCCTAGCCCCTTCCCAATTCAATCTCAGCTTAAATCAAGGGAAAGCTGTAGTGTTGAAAAGATGCTTTGCATTTTTGCTTCTGAATTACAGTGGTGGGCCCTGGACTCCTCTACAAGCACCTGTAACCCTTGTTTCCCTGTCAGCAGAAGGCAGCTTATGGCTCCATGATACCTACAATGGCAAAATAAAGTCTACTTGGTAAAAGACAGTATTTACACAGGAGTGGATCCAATTAAATATTAAGCGGATAATAGCACATGTGTAAAGAGAAAAAAAAAAAAAGCTAAGTGAGGCAATGCAATTTGGCAAACAATCTTAGGAAATTCTTTCAGTAGACGGCAACTCAGACTGTCTTCAGAGGTTTTAACTAAGGACTTAACAAAAAAAGTCCATGAGATTTGGCTGAGTGAGTAAGAAGGTCTGCAATCCCCATCAAGTCCAGAATGACTCCTATACCTGTAACCCCAACATTGTGGCAGAGACAAGCAGTTCTCAAGAATTCAATAGCCAGCCACCCTGGTCATCTTCCTGTTCAGTAAGAGCCCGATTCTCATATATTCTCTCTCTCTCTCTCTCTCTCTCTCTCTCTCTCTCCTTTCCCTCCCTCCCCGAAAAGCACTCTATTTAAAACTTTGCTTTCTCTATCCCTAGCTAGACACCAAACGCCTCCACGGAGGTCCTTCCTCTGATCCCAGTAGCAAGCAGAATTAAGAACTGAGAATAAAGAGTTAACAACATACAGCTCCTATCCTAGACAAGTTTAATTTCAGGGAGAAAGGCACAAATTAACACATTAAAAAAAAATCTAAAAGTCAAGATGATTAGATGCTCATTACGTTTTACAGGGATAACCTTTCTTTGGAATCATTTCTGGAGCAGCGTGTGAGACCCGAGGAGGAAAAGCAATCAGCGGGCTAAAAGACAGGTGAACAGCATTCTAGACAGATGGAACCCAACTTGCAAAAGGCCAGGAGGTGGTAACAGGGTCCTGACTGTAATACAGGATCGGCCCGGAAAGAAAGGAGCGGGAGAAGTGAGGTGAAGCTGTCAAAAGCCGAATTTTATTCTAAAACCAATGGGACTAACACTCCGTGTTTTAGGAGGAGGAGTGCCTTGGCCCAATTAACCTTTTAAAATGCGTATATCCCGTACAACTCTGCGGACACGTGGCAATAAGGACGCTTCCGAAGAGCTGGGGTACGGGGTGCTTAAGACGATTGCCATGGAAAAACGGGCAAGCAAATCGTGAAGCCCTTATCTTTCCCTGGCGCTCGGCTCTGCCCAGACACAACTCCGAGGGTGCAGACTCATTTCACCCTCAAGACAAGCCCTATTTCACGATGTGGAAACTGAGGGCAGAGAGGTTCAGAGCCTGCCGCGTGAGGTGCCCCTCGCCTTTGCAGAGCGCCCCGGGGGCAAAGCCTGCAGACCCCG